ACTTGAGCTGGAGGCAGAGGAATAGCCATTGTTGGAGCTTTTACTAGGAAACGTCTAGTATCAGACTGAGAACACTAGACTGTGTGTTATAGTTAACTATGAAATATGGAAATAGCGAGAGTGTTATAGTTATTTGTAGTTACGACCTCTAAGTGGTCAATAAATGTATTCGCCAATCCAAACCCCGTCTAAAGTGACATATATATATATATATATTACGTGACAATATGAAGAAATAGATAAATGTTAGAGCTGGTTCCACGCCAAGAAGGCATTCAGAAGTAGGATAAGAGGGTGACTGAGGTGAAACTCCATGCATTTTTCACACCAGAAGATGATGGAGTGGCCGAATTCGCGCGACGAAACAGTTCTCGGTACCCACCGGTTTTGAAAGTGGTTGGATCGCTGAGATAATTTGACGCAACAGCGAAGAGAACAATCTACTGCCCATGATGGGAATCAAACCATAGTTCTCCAGCTTGTGCTGAGTTATTTTGGCTCATAAGAGCACACATGCATATGTACCTCCGGTCCAAGTTACGTTGCGAATATCCTTCTTACAGTACATGCTCTTTCCTTAAAGTAAGATGCCATATTTCACAACTTTCAAAAATAATAAATTTATCTTAATTACTTGAGTTCAATAAATTAAAAACAAAGAAAATCCTGACATTTAAATTCGCCATTACTGCAAAGCAAATATGTTAATAACATTTATGAAATTTAACTTTATTTATTCTTGTGCGTCATAGTATTTAAATATTATAGAATGATCTGACACCGTCCAGTGTGACTCAAATGTACATTTATATGAATGCCTTTACATATTTCGGTCAGTAAATGACCATCCTCAGAAGGCACAACATGTTGAGGAAACTACTATCACATTGATCATAGTACATCAAGTTGAATCAAAGTTGTATATAAAGATTATAATTAAGATAAAATGTGGTTGAATTAAAAATTATTAAAAAATATTAAACCGCCCAGAATGCGTGCAACATATATTTTCTTCTTGGCTTAGTTCTATAAGTTTGTCAGGAAAAAATGCGATTGAATGCAAATGTAAATATAAGTCAGGTCGCTTAAGCATGTATGCAGATGCTTAACTTTCCTTACATTCATGTTAATTACTTTACAACACATACCTACTGTGTGATAGTGCAATCTTTATGCCTGTTAGTACCTATCTCAGCACGATTACGAATTTCATATAGTTGTTATTTATGTTATTAGACATGAACTGGAGGATAATATTAAATTTAATCCTAAAGAAATTGGATGGGAGGATGTGGAGTGGATTCACCTGGCTCAGGATAGGAACCAGTGGCGGCTTATTGAGCATACGATAATGATCCTTCGGGTTGAATAAAAAAAAATTGAAAATTTCTTGAGTAGCTGCACGATTATTCGATTCTCTAGGACATAACTTCTTAGAGTTACTATAGGAAACTCGCTAAATATAGGCCGCGTTTTAAAGAACAGCCATATATTCAATATGTGACGTTATGAAGACCATACGGTCTGCACTACGTCATCCAAACTTAACATATTTTTAACCATTAAGGCACGTGGAACAAATTAAATTAACATTCTCTGAGTCCCAAGTGCAGTCACAATACACCACAGAAAAATATACATTCAGCGTCATCGTCATCATCATCATCAGCAGCAGCAGCAGCACCACCATCATCATCATCATCATCATCATCATCGGTGTTTACAAGGACTGGATCATCAGATTCGAACTCTGGGCTGCTAGACAAAGCTGCCGTGATCAGGATTTTGTGCTGCTACGTGATTCTGTAGCATGAAGCCCGCGCGGTGGTCTCTCAGAAAGATGCATTTGTCTTTTGAAGAAACTTTCAGCTATTTCTTTTCGACCGCAGTTCTGGCGTATGAAAATGGGTGTGGTAACCATTCTTTATGGCTAAGTGATAAGCCAAGCGGACAAACCGAAGTATCTGGCATCCGCGCAGTAATTTAAAACAACGTCCTCAGTTTCTCTAGGCAAAACCGTCTTGCGTCCCAAAGCAGTTGCCACAGTGTCTATAGCTCTTATACTCAAACGAATTGGTATCTGAGTTCAGTTCGACAGGTAAGTATAGTTGTAGCCTTCGGCTCTTTGGTATAGTCGTCACACTTCCTGGCTACAGATCCAGAGTTCCGGGTTTGATTCCCGGCGCTACCAGGTTTTCCGAGAAGTAGTGGGTCTCGAACGGGGTCCACTCAGCCTCGTGAGGATGATTGAGGAGCTATTTTAAGGAAATAGCGGCTCCGGTCTAGAAAACTGAGATTAATGGTCATGGGGGTTCGTCGCGTTGATCACGCGTCACCCTCTATCCGCTAAAGTTGGTACTAACTTCGCCGATAAGCGGCGGTCGCTCGGTCGCTATATTTCGCTTGCGGACTAAAAGCAGGGACTTCTTTCTGTAGCCTTGATCAGCGTCAGTGTTCAGAAAGAAGCACTTCAGCACAAAAGAATTCCGTTACGAATGATTGGCAGACATAACCTCTTATGACAATAACTTAAAGCGAACGTAAATGAAAGTTAGCGAGTTACAGTTAGCTTGGGCTGCGCCAAAGCTTAAACGGTTAGTCGCTGGCTTCCCACCGCGACGGCACGGGTTCGATCCCGGGTCTGGTCAAGTGGGATTTGTGGTGGACAAAGTGGCACTGGAGCAGGTTTCTCCGAGTACTTCGGTTTCCCCTGCCAATCTTCATTCCACCAATTGCTCCACAATCACTCTCACCTATCATCTGGGGCTGGTACAATAGGCCAGAAGTGGCCGCAGTACAAGGGACTTAGTCCCACCCCACTAGCAATAAAAAAATTACAGTTAGGATTTTAGATATGAGATCCATGAAGAGGAATTATGGATGGAACCGCCTTGACGGCAGGAGAGTCTAAGTTCGCGCACACACACACACACACACACACACACACACACACACAAAACACACACACACAAAAAACACATGTCTGTAAATTAAGATTGCTTCTAATGTAACACCGCTTTGTTCTATTTGCCAGTTTACATAAAAGACGAGCGAATGAAGCATGAGACGGCATATAATTCAGAAAGTATTCCATTACATACAATATTCTGTTTACACAAAGGAAACAGGAAGTCAAAAATTCCTTTTTCATGTACATCTTCAAGAGTCACAGCAGGGAAGCTTGTGCAGTGCCATGAACACAAGAGACACTAATTAGAACAGCTTGGGCTGTCAGAAGAGAAACTGTATCAATCTGAGAGCTGACGGCAGGTACTTGAATGACATACTGAAGAAATGACAATTATTTATAAAGTTTTCTTTGGCTACAGAGAAGAGTGATTTGATATTGCTGTGTGAAATTCTCCGTAAGAAATTCGATCGTATATTTACTCGATTTTTCAAATACTGGGACAAACATTTGTTAAAATCCGGTAGGAAAATCATATTATTTGAGGTGACCCCAAATGCCAAATTTTGAACCTCAATGTTTAGCTATTCAGACATAGCGAAAATGCGAATGTTTGAACTGATGTTATTTGCCCAGAAATTCTTTTTGAAACTCACTCACGGAGCTGAGCCATTCTTGAGAAAACGCCAAATCTGCAGCTACTCCAGAATTTCCCAGCATTTTATGGAACCCGAAGGTTCATTACCGTGTCCACAAGTGCCCTCCACTGGTTCCTATCATGAGCCAGATCAATCCAATCCATATCATCCCAGCCTAGCTCTCTAAGATAAATTTTAATATTGTTCACCCGCCTACGTCTTGGTCTTCTTAGTGATCTCTTTCCTTCTGGTTTTCCCACCAATATACTACATGCATTCCTCCTCTACCCCATTCGTGCTACATGCCCTTCCCATATTTTGGAAATTAGTATATGAAAATATGCAACTGCTTTAAAGCTTATTTAAATTGGAACACGCAGAAATTCCAGTTCTTCGCATGGATTACTTTTGTTTTCTTTGTCATTATTGCAATGTAGGGCTTTCGTAGCTAAACGTTTAAAGATGGAATAGCAATAAAAGTAAGAAATTAAAGTTCACTCAAGTTGGGCCCAATTAAGAACAGACGAAGTGTAATTACAATTAGGACAGGATTCAGTACCACAATATTAGAACCTTACTGTAACAGCCGCGTCGCCACAGGCAACAATACAGATTTGATCCATTCGAACATCGACCGAGATACCTGCTATCCAGACAGAGGGTTTTCGTTGTTTTCCCCAGTTTCTCCATGCAAATGTGAGGCCAATACCCCGATAAGACCATTACAATTCCTTCCAAGTTCTTTCCAATTTGAAGGGCGCAACGAAGGAAACAAGTACAGTCCGTATCGCCTAACAAACAAAAACAAACTCCGTGGCCTGTAGTCTGTAAGCGAACTACACCGACCGAGCGACCGCCGCTTGTCGGCGAAGTTTTAACGGATAGAGGTTTCGCGTGATCAGCACAACGGATTCCAAAGGCCGTTAATCGCGGTTTTCTAGACCGGAGCCACTACTTTTCCATTCAAGTAGCTCCTCAATTATCCTCACGAGGCTGAGCGGACCTCGTTCCAGACCCAATACTTCTCAGAAAATCTGGTAGCGCCGCGAATCGAAACCGGAACCTCTGGATCTGTGTAGGAACTCTTACATTCGAACGCGAATAATACGAAGGATGCCGTCTTCTGGGATGTGGCACCGTGTAGATCAGTGTAGAATATTCCGCGAGCGAGGAACCAGCGTGAGAAGGTTGCAGGTGGCTCCGAAACGTCGATTCACAGAATATCTACATATCCCAGAAGACGGCTGTCTGCAGAGTCACCGCCGTGAAAACCTCAAATTTTACTATTTCAATTGAAATTGCTTTGCTAGAGGGATTGCAATGCCATGTCTCTCTCCGTTTCACAAAACTTGCTACTCTAAGACGCCACGCATCAGTAAGGAGACGTGCTGCATTGTGCAAGTAATGATTATACATAGGAAGCAAACATTACATCATGCAGCCGAATATCTTACCTGTGTTTGTGAGAGACAGATGCACTCTGGAATACAGCTGACCACAAGGATGCTTTGGATGACGTGCAGAGTGGCAAGCAGGGCGACAAGCAGCGGCAGAAAGCCCTGCAGCTGCATGGTTTCTCCCCCAGCATCTGTAACAAGAGTACATACTGTCAACGAGAGAGATCTGCTGGGCTCTACACGGATTATTGTGATAATTGGCTTTCACTTGCCGCGGATAACTGAACCACTCTGGTCAGTTGTAGAGACTAAAGTGAGGAACAGGCCCCCACCTCCAAAATCTCTAAAGCAACTTCAAAGTGTTATTCAGGAAGAACGGCGTACATTTCCACTACAGACTGTTTCAAACTTGTATGAGTCCATTCCAAGCAGGATTCCGGCAATATTGAAGGCAAAAGGTGGCCCAGCAACATACAAATAATGAAATGTGTACAGTATTTGTAGTGTAAAAGGCCATGAAGGCCCATAGGTTTGTAAGACGTTTAGGGTCCCACATTATCTAGACAATCAGCTAATAGATGGTGGTGAGGTTGTCACACATACGCTCCGACCGCCTTTACCCCCAAGCAAGACTCCTGGTACTCATTTCTGTTAGAGGCTGAGTCGACCCCAGGGCCATAGTGCGGCTGGAAGGGTTAGGTCAATTGAAAAAAATCGACCTCATCGGGACTTGAACCCGCGACCTTCCGGCTTGCAGCACAATGTGTCAACCAACTATGCTACCGTGTCCAGTATTACTGGTGGATGTACTCTCTTCTGAAAGGCTCTGTGGGGGTATGTAATGTGTAACACGGGCTTCTGCTGAAGAAGCTTGTACATTGTGGACGTGACGTACTGTGCAAGTGCGTAGTAGTGGGTATCATACCCGGCGGAAGTAAAAAATCCTGGATGTGTGGTAGAGTGTAAGTTGTGTTTAGTTGTTATATTGCGTGGAGGTTTGTCGTAGGTAGGGAAGACTAAACAGTGGAATTCTCAATTATTGTTGTTGGTTGTTGCCTGCTCTGGGGTGTCAGGTAGGTAGCTGGTCGGAGTGCTGAGGGATATCTGCCCAGCTCACACAAAAATGCCCCAAAATACTAGCGGAGGATGTTATATACTGTAACGTATCCGGTCTGCGTGACTAATAAGACGGGTTTTGAATTCGATGATCGAATTTATTTGACCTTTATACAACTGGTTACAACAGTTCGCAAATAACTATCAGGCACACTGTCATCTTCTTCGACTGGACAATTCACTACTCCGTTGTAGTTCTTCAATTCTGATCTGAACTACGACTGACTCAATTCTGATCTGGTCTACCACTGGTTTCTGCTATATAAGGTCGTGGCGGATCGTCGTCTTCAATCTCGTATCCAAGGAAAGGTTTGTCGATCGCTCGTATCCGCGGAAACGTCGCCTTTGTTTCCAAGAATCAAATTCTACGTGTTTTAAACTGGTCCCTAGCAATGAGTCTACATGTCACAACATTGATTCTTGAATTATTTAATGATTTCTTTTCAACTGCGTAGGATACACTACATGAAATTGTAGTAGATTTTGAACGGCGATTGGGAAGGACGCGAAAGCACTGCTTTTAGCACGCAGACTGTAGACTCTATATCATAATTGTCCTGAAGGGACAGAGGCCTGGCAGAGAATTCGGATAGCCTGTCTATAGTTCGAACCCAGGGATTCCAGAATACACTAGATCGCCACTATATCATTTTTCTGGGAAGTATTCTGAAAGAAGCATATTTGGATTTATCCCATTACTTAATAATAAACTCTCTTAGCAATAGATTTGTTTCTTAAATTCACTTGGACCCCTCAGGAACATGTTCCGTACATTCATCAAGGTTCTCATAGGAAATACTCTAAGACAGGCCACGACATCCTCTCCTCCTGTCCTCTCACTCTTCTAATCCATCATCATCTTGCAGCATCAATCACTATTTTTATTGGTGTCATGAAATATTAGTGGGACTTGAGTTGCGGAAGTCTGCGGAATTTCGCGATATGGCTTTTAGGCAGGAGGAACAAGCCACGTTCAAACAGAAATGCCGTGTGTTATAATTACTTCAGTATTCCTTACTGTAAAAAATCTCAAAATGTGTGACGCCAATATCAGTTACTTAAGAAGACTGTAAAATTATGCAGTGCGTTTTGAGGAAGAAATTATAAATTAAATAAATAGTTCTATCTTCTGGGATATAACGCCATGTATTTCGATGAGCTCAGAGTGCTACCTGCTTCATGATAGTTTCTTGCTTGGCTTATTCTTCTACCCTGAAGAAGCAGACTGACTTGCTACGGGCTGCACGACCGAGGGGTCGAAATTCGAGTCCCGGTAAGGTGAAAAATTTTCTCTTCTCCACGTCGTCTAGACCGGCTCTGTGGTCCACCCAACCTCCTATACAATTGGTACTGGTGGTAAAGCGGCTGGGGCGTGAAGCTGACCACTCCACCTCCTCTCCCTCATACACCTTCATGATGTCGTGCTTAATTATTTAAGTGCAGGGACAATTTTACCTTTACTTTACCTTAATTTCCTCTTGAAACAAATTTTGATTTGTTACCGTCGTCCCCAAATATCTGAATTTTGAAAAAAAAAATTGTTCCATATCCTTTACAGTTCGTCATTCACTGACAGCCAAGAATTCAACGCTATATAGTCTCAGCTAGTGACAACAGCGTTGAATAAAATACAAATATATAAGAACTGTCCGCAACGTCGGACCGGCTCTGAGGCCCACCCAGCCTGCTTCTGAATGGGTACCGTGGGCTGTTTCTCAGGGGGTAAAGCTGCCGAGGTCAAGAATGGTGGAGATTTACCTTCACTCTCCAATTCATCTTAATGGAGTGGTGCTTAATTAGTTAAGCACAGGGACAACTTTACTTCTGCACATGCTAAATGTAAATTAATACACAAAAATTGTTCAATATTTGCGTCAAATCACACCGTAATAGACCACTATATTAAAAGACTAAAACAAACAGAATTTTAACGCAGACTGAACTCAGTACAGACTTTCTCTCTTCCTCTCCCCCGCCCCAACTCCGATTTTGCTGTTGTGGTCGTGGTTGATATATGAACATTGTAGTTCAGATACGTGTGCGCAACAAACTTTCAGTTGTTTCTAAAACCGCTGTATTCACGGAGGCCTCAGCTGTGTCCAGACACTTGAAGGTAAAGTTGTTCCTGTGTTTCATTAACTAAACACACCAAGAAGGCATACGCGGGGGTGGAGGTATAGTGCTGTCATTCTTGACTTCAGCACTAGACGGAAGCGAGTGGTCAGCTTTAAGCTCCGACAGCTTTATCTCCACGGAAAGAGCCCGGTAATCCTTAACCCTTGAATAAGAGGCTGGGTGGACACCAGAGCCAGTCTGAACGCTATACAGAAGAAAAAAGATGTCTTTTCCCCGATGGAAATCGAACCCTGGCCGTCCAGCTCGTCGCTATACCGACTGACTTATCCCCGTTCCTGACTCAGAGTCAATTAAACCCCTGCTTTCTTGCGATATTGCCAAGCCTGAAACGATGTGGTTATGACTGGAAACCAAACAGAATAAAGTGTTTACCTGATTCATTCCAGCTAAGTTTATTTGTACAGCTACAGCTGAACAGTTACATCTGGGACGCAGGTTTATATCTGACACGTAAATTTCCTACAGTTTTATATTCCGGGTTAGTGCATGGTAAGAGCCTGGTAGCTCAGTTAGTATTGCAACGGATTACGGTTTCGACAGCAGACAGTTCGATTCCCAGCGGGCCAGGAAATTTTTCTGTACTCCACAGCGTCCAGACCGCCTCTGGGTCACACCCATATTCTTAAGTAATGGGTACAGGACGCTCTTTCATCGGCGGTAATGAGTTCGGAGCGTGAAGCTAACCACTCAACTCCATCTAGTACAGAAGTCAAGAATGACGGAGCAATACGTTCTCTCCCCTTCGTCTTCATGGCGTGGTGCTTAATTAATTAGGCACAGAGACAAATTTACTTTTTACTTTATTCACTTATTTTACTGCACTGCAGCTACTGTTGATAGAATTGTGATGTGGTGCCTAAAAGCCGGACTATAGGACATCCATCGCTGCGCAACGGACAATGAGAACGCATGCTACCTACGAAACTGTTTATGCAACAGAGTCAGAACTGTTGAATTCCCGCGGAAACAAGAGATTCGTTGCATAGCAGCGGGCGAAACTAAACCCTTCGACAAGGTGTTCCCCATTCAGACCGAGTGCAGTCCAACTTCGGCAAGAGACCAGTTAGTTCGTATCCGACGAGGGGCAGTTGAACTCCGAGCAGGGCAAAAGACACTTCACCGAGATTAGTGATGCGGGAGTGTATAACACTTAAGTGGGAACGTCCGAAGAAGTTATGAGTGCGAATAATTGTATTTGTGAGTGTAAAAAGTGAGTGTCCAAATCCGAAACCAACGGAAATATTCTTCTCGCGTTACCTAGGAAACACGCGAAAATACAATAATTAATGAATTGGGAGAAAAGGGGTGAAAAGAGACCTTATCTACTTAATGTAGGTGTATGTCTTTGTAACATATCCGGAGGAGCTGAAGAAAACAAAAAGACCGTCAGGATAGCAGGTCCTCTGTCGGGATTCGAAGCCGATACTATCCGAAGGTGAGTCAGGCTTGTTACTGCTATGTTACAACGTAACGGTTAGTCCTGATTTCGGGGTACAGGGCATAAAGCAAGCATCTCACACTGCAACTGCTTTTGATATACACGTAACAGCGCTGATGGGAAGAAGGATGATAGAGCCGCCACTGAAGAAGCCATCACATCCACTTAGAGAAAATGTAACGTTCCCAAATAATACAGCCTTTCTACACAAAGTATGTTCGGCGTGACGAAGAAGTGCGGGGGAGGGAAGCCCCAGGTGCGAGGAAGGGCGCACGTTCAAATGGAGTCATCTTTCAAGGAAACTGTGTTGGATAAAAACTAGTAAAATCTCTCCCCTCTTTCTCTCGAGTGGTGAAACTTACTGGGATGGAACTTCAACGAGAGCCGGTCCGGAAATCCGGACGTTTCCGGACTCCTCAGGCTGAACACCCCTTCCCCACCCACAAGCCAAGTTCCTACTGCTTTGNGGGGGGGGGGGAGCGCGTGATGAGACGTTGCCTG